CTCTCTCTCTCTCTCAAATAAATAAATAAAAGCCTAAAAAAGAAAAAAAAGATACACCAAGTATCATGCAGAGCCCTAAGGGATATAAGAAATAAACAAGGTCTTTTCCTGGACTTTTATAAGTCCTGTATTTCTTTTTTCTTTGAAGCATTTTTTTTTTGTGATTGCATATAATTAATTAATTATATAATTTTTTCTTTGACCTATGCCTTCTCCGACTAGACTAGAGTCTAGACTTCGAAAAGGCAGTCACTGTGCCTGTCAGGTATGTTGGGTATGCAGTACACTTTCAGTAAGCATTTGTTGAATGATTGACATCGCTGAGAGTCCAAGATGGGGTAACGAGCATGTAAATAAAAAATGCCAAAAAGGATTGAATGTGCCTGGTAGGAATCTTAGAAGGGAGCCAAATGGAGAGAGAGGACAAAGTAAGCAAGTGTCACTGTTGGTATCAGAAAGATTCAGGAGATATCGTCTACCTCAGCGGGCTCTCAAAAGTTGAGTAGTGACTTCCCCAGCACAGAGAGGATCCCCAGGCAGTAGGAGGGGCCGGTACATAGGGAGGCAGGGGCAAGGCCTCCGGGTTTTGTTGTTTTAGTGTATAAGAGGCAATGACAGGAAAGTGGGAAATGAAGACACTTGCCTCTCTCTGCCCCAGCATTTTCTTGCAGTAGCTTAAAAAATTCATCTGGCCTGTGGGAAGGAAGGCAGTGATAGTAAGAGATAGAACTTCCTCTTTTCTGAGCTCTCTTGGGCTTCACTTCCTTCTTAATATAGTCCACCCTTTCCACGTTGAAAAGCATTCTCCCTGCTGGAGAAGTCAAAGCAGGCCTTCCCTCACTGTCTTTCAGTCATCCATCAACATTGCAGAGTCGACCCCAATGGGAAGTTTTGTTCTGTTTCATTTGCTTTCTTTGGCCCTCTTCTTTCTTTCTTCAAACCTGGCTTGAAAATCCCATGCCTGCAGATTTCTTTTGCAAACCTCAGTCACGTGATCCTGTGGGTCCTGGTACCTATGTGCCTTGGCCTGCCTACCCTTAGCCGTGCTTGTCCCTCCCCTTTCCTCAACCAGCACCTCAGCAGCTGTTCTGGTGATCTCCCTGCTTCTAAGACCTTCCCGAGAGGAGCACTGACTCACCTTTCAAGGGCTCCTCATAGTATTTGGAGGAGCCCACAGTTCTCTGCACCTCTCATTTGCTGCATCCCCTATATTCAACTTCCACCGGGTGTACATGTACAGTTCCCTACAAAGACATGAGCTTTTCTCCAGATTCCGTGTTTTCATATTTGCAGCTGCCTCTTTTTTTTTTTTTTAATCCTCCTTCTCCTTCACCAGGCTGACTTCTGATTGCCCTTCAACAGCCAGATCAAATATCACCTACTTTTGAAATCTTTTTGCCTCCTGGACCTTGTCATGTGATCCCCTTTTAGGTTTTATGTTTCAGTTCTAGGTTTTATCTTGTTAAATTCAAGTTACCTGGTGCTTCCCCACCTAATCACTGGTCTGTTCTATAAGATGGGATCATGTCCTACCTTTCTGCTACCCAGGACCTAGATAAGTGTCTGAAAACTGCTGTATGCTCCATGAATATATTTTTTTAAAGATTTTATTTATTTATTTGAGAGAGAGAGAATGAGAGAGAGCAAGCACATGAGAGGGGGGAGGGTCAGAGGGAGAAGCAGACTCCCTGCCGAGCAGGGAGCCCGATGTGGGACTCGATCCAGGGACTCCAGGATCATGACC